AGGAATACCCAAAATTGATAGAGAATATGTTTAGAAGAGTGGCAGAAGTGATTGGAGCAGAAGGAGGTCACACACAGTACTAGAATTATAGAGATTACATTAGTAAAACTCAAAGTCAAAAAAGTGTCCCAATGAGTCATCAAATTAAAATACTCATATCTTCACATAATGTCATTATTTTCCCACGGTATAGGGAACCGAAATAAAGCTGAGATGCAGACCTTTCCGACATCTCCCTATAGCTTAGTCATATTCCCACGTCTTGACACATGATATAGCAATTACATGAAAAGCTACAAACATTGGGACACTTTTTTGAGCCACTGTATATGGTCATTATATTCACAAAGAGGCTAAGAATCTCACAGAACTTCTCAAATGTGGTGCCCTCAAGCAAATTGACAAGCAAGGAGTTCCTAATGTCTATCACTATTCTTTAACTTTGTTCATATTTTGTATGAAGATTTAATGCCTTTCCATGATAGTGGGGTTTATCATATTATGTAATATGTACAGCAGGATCAACTCACTTCATGCTTATATATGTTGTATGTACAGACAAGTATGATAATCTATGAGTTATTCAACAGCATCATTCAGTAACTGATTACTGTTTCCACTGTGGAGTTGATTGTTAAGACCATGCACCAAGGGTAGGACTGATTCTGAGGGGCTTGGCTTCAGCTCGTGCGCTGCACCCCTTACCCGAGTATGTGCCCTTAATTTCAGATTGGTGTCTGAAGAAAGTCCGAAGATGTCTGAAGGTGAAGGAAACTTCGGAAGGACTTTCTGGACAGGTGCAAGTAACTTCCAGATGAGCATGGGAAAGTTCCAGAGGAACTTTCAGAAATTACGATGATGTTTTGTCTTGATACAGATATGTGTAATGGCTACTCAGGACTTGTCCTGAGTAGAAGCAAACAGAGGAAAGGCTGCAAGGACAAAATCCGAAGGACCGTGGGAAAGATCCAGATAGACTTCTGGAAAATTCGGAGGATCAGATGAGCGGAGGATCAGAGAATCAGAGGATTGGAACTCTGGCCTAGGGAATTACTCCCTAGGTCTGAGACGGATAATGACTAAGTTGAAGGACTAGAACTTGATATGAGGATGTAGTGTGAAGGCTAGTGTGAGGACTAACATGATATTTAGACTGAGGAACTATGGTACATATACAAGAGTTTATATACTAAGTAACTACTGGAAAGATCAATAAACAAAGGTCTAAGGCTATGTACAAGGCATAAGCAAAACTATCACATGCGAGTCAGAAATAAAGCATAGGTTAATGGATCAGTAAGCATACTGGTGGTAAGTATAACTGAGGTACTGGAAACAAGGAATACCGGATAGGCTATGTATCAAGAAGCTTATCGTATATCAGCTCAGAAATGTATCTATACATCTGATAGGATTGGATTGGACCGGATTGGATGTGGTCTGGATGAGATGTGTGGATATGCAAAATATAACATTAGGGGGATGGGACAAGGGTGAATGATGCAGGCTAGCTGCAAAGGTAAAGGGATCTAGATGTGGATATGCAGATGTGGATGTACAGAGGTGTAGGGATCCAGATGAGTAGAAGACTGCAGGCTAGCTGCAAAGGTAAAGGGATCTAGATGTGGATATGCAGATGTGGATGTACAGAGGTGTAGGGATCCGGATGAGCAGAGGACTGCAGACATAGGAAATCTGAAGGTCCGGATGAGGCGTGGGAATATTATCGGACGTAGGTCCGGAAATATGGGATATGACATTGTTGTAGCATGCCTTGGGGAGCCATTAACACGGGCGTAGCCTTGCAAATAAGCTAAGCTTCAGTTCAAAGACTTAGATGTAAAAAAACACACTACTCATATGGGATTCAATCTGCACATTTCCTTTGGCAGTCATGGTAGCATTACTTTGGCCATACAGCACTGGTCAGGGGAATATATGACAGGATCACTGAGCTAGCCAAAGTCTAACATGAATGTGGCTGGTGCAGGTAATGAGGCATGAAGATCTTGAAGCATTAAATGAAGGTGATCATAGTTGGAATCTTCTGTGAATGTGAGAGAGCACCTGTAAATTAGAATAGTTGCAAACTCGACTCTCCTATATTCATGACATGGAGAAAGCTGAATTTTTGATCATTTGCAAGGAAGAGTTGATGGAGTGATGGCCTGAGAAATTCAAGGACCATAGGATGATACACTGACTCTCTTCCAAACCAGAGGGTGTGGGAAATGCTAATTCTGCCTTCAAGTTGCTTCAAAATGCAGTATTTACACTCTACAGAAGATGGGTGGTCGACAATAGTTTCAAGTTTGAGCATTATTGATGATGTTCCATGTAGAATATACAATGGCCAAGTGGTATATTATAAGTAGATCTCAATCAGCACATGAACAATAAATAACTACAGTGGCTCAAAAAAGTGTTCAATGTTTGTAACTTTTCAAGTAATTGCTTTATTATGAGCCAGGGTGTGGGAATATGACTGAACTGTAGAGGGGTGTCATAAAGCTGTACTTGTTAGCCTCATTGAAGTTCCCTATAGCATGGGAAGCTGATGTCATCATGTGCATATATGGCTATTTTAATTTGGTGACTCATTGAGATACTTTTTTGACTTTCAGTTTGATCGACACAATCTCTATAATTATGATACTTCATGTGACCTCCTGTTGCTCTAATCACTTCTGCCACTCTTCTAGACATGCTATCTATCAATTTGGAGTATTTATTCTTAGCACTCCTTTCTCACTCTGCTGCAACTCTGTCCTACAGCTGAAATAGCCCCTATAATAAATTTTGATAGACTGCAAGCAATTTCTTGAATATTTTTCAGAGATATTCAAAAGGGCTGATGTACAGGGACGATAGAACATTGGACCAGCATAGATCTAGAGCAGTCTAGACCAGCTGTACTACCTTAAGCCTAGAACAGCCTCCTGATCCCCATCTTAGGATCATAGACCCAGAAGCGCCTCATGCTACCTTATGGCGCTTCTTCCCCTTTAAACTGACAGGACGCATGCCACCTCATGCATCATTGACTCATAGGATAAAACAGCCTTATGTACTTATCTTGACACAGATAGATTCGTGGATACAGGCTCCTACCTAACCTTATAGAATATGCCTATATAGCTCAGACACATATCATCGTATTTCTTACTTTGATAATTTTCTAGAACTAGTACAATTCCAGTACTTTGTCATCCATCAGAACTCCTTTTAGAGTAACCTCTAGTCCCTCTGTCTTGACCGCCAGCCGACGCTACCTTAGCAATACATCCATGAGCTCTACAGCTTTATAAGCTGCTGCACTTACCAAGCTTGTTGGAGGATACCTTAGGATTCCCCTGAGCTTAGAACTCATCCTTCCACCTATGCAAGACCACATTCGAGATCAGCTATTCAACCGCGGAAGGCTCAACCTATCCAAGTCGTAACAGTTTGAGGTGGCTTGAAGCTAGCTCAATTCGTTGTTCCCATATTGTTGGCTTGTGCTGGTTTGTGCTGGTCCAGGTGGCTTGCGGACTGGACCAAGTTGCACGTAGGTGACTTGGTTCATGGAGACCACCAAACTGCTGGAAAACCAGTGAGAGCTGAGCCTGTCCAGCCATAGCTAAACCATGACATGACTATCAGCAATGGATACAAAAGACAGACCAGTATCTGAACGTACTCCTAGACGCAGAGGTTCCTGCCAACAGAATATGCTCATGTGTGAGAGCGATGGGGGCTGCAAATGTAGTACTTTGCTTTATGAAGTGTGGGGACATGGTATACTGGTGGTATACAAGAATGCAGCGCTTGGTGTAGGAAAGTAGTGTACGCTTGGAGAGGCGTTCAGCACAAGTTGTGGATATGGCTGCTATGAGGCTACAGATATGTCGGTCTCTACACTGCATTATGACAAACCACGCCGAGTAGGCAATACTGGTGGTACGACTATAAGCTTCTGAACTCGGTGTTTTGCGCCACAAGCATGACATGTTTTCCCACTTTGAGGGGCCTTTACCCTTGTAAGCATGCGACTCATTCCTACCATTTGCAAGCCATAAGAGATTTATTAGAGATCGCATCACGATACATGCCGTTGCGAGCTAGGAAAGTAAAATCCATTATGGTCGAGTGGTAAAGATGGGTCATCATATTGAGATCTTGAGTTCGATTCCTGCCATTGCCAATTTATATTTTTTGAATTTTGCTGAGCATTATGACTGTATGCGGCTGGGAATGCGACGAGAAGATGACACAAGACCATGGATGGACAGAGCAAGACGAGGAGCACGACAAAGATATGAGGCCAAAATTTCCCGCGGTCTGATGAAAACGCGTCCATGATTTTCGAGTATTTTGCTCATATGTCGCCGGGATCTTGATGCGATGATGTCGTGAGACCATGGATGGAATGACATTGACAAGGAGCATGGCTTTGGACTGGGACAAAAAGTGATTAATAAGCGATGACAAAGGCACGACCCTCACTGAGACGGACGAAACGACCACCCTGAAAGCGACCCCCCCCCCAGTTTGAGAGGGGCAAAGCCACCCCCCCGACGCGCCTGAAGCGGCGGGGACGTTTGCGGGCCCCCGTCCGGGGAGTCCCCTCCCCATAGTGCGCGCCGCTGCTCAAAAGGATCCGCTACGCCTCGCAGTCCTGATCCGTTATCCCGCCGGGCGTTGCGGAGGACTTTGACACCCGTTCGCCTTGACCGGACCATCGTGTTCACCACTCATTTCTTGGACGAAGCTGATCTGTTGGCCGATAACATAGCCATTTTGGCTGCGCCCGGCTAGCTGGTAGCCGAGGGCAATCCCGTTGCTCTCAAGTCAAACCTTGGGCAGGGATACAGCGTCCAAGTCGTGTTCAACTCCTTGATTTGGCTGAGAAGGACCTTCCAAAAGTATTCTCCGAAACTTTGGATCGTATTCGCGAAGTTGGTCCCCAGCGTTATATGTCACTCTCCTCACCGAGCCAGGCATCATACCACCTCAAGCCAATGGATCCTGCTGTTGTGGAGAAGGTCCTCCAGCTGCTGGATCAGAAGTGCGATGCTCTTTGCGCCGCGCCCTGTGATGTGCTTGGGACATCCGTTGAAGATATCTTCCTGAATCTCACGGCCCACCAAACTGGTAGCGTCTCCCTAGATAGCGCTGAGAGGTCCATTTCAAGTTCAGGTGAGCCTTCACTTGACGTTCGGTGGGATATCAATAGACATGCTCACGGGTGATTCGTTGTTTGCGCGGCAGGCGGCCCTGCCCAGCTTAGCTGGTCCGACTATGATGAACCTGGCAACAAATATACTTTATAATCGGGCATCAAACACTTCTGGGGACATTGAACACCCGCCGAACCTCATTTACGCGAGCTATGCTGCTTTCCTTCATCTTGCTTCGGGGACTCTGGTTGATCTCAAGTGGGCGGCATTCTTTGGGGCTGCTATGGTACGCGCTGAGCAAAAATTCCACATCTATAGGATCGCGCGCTAATATCTTGTTTAGTTTGGCTTTCCCGTTCCATCATGCGATTTGGAGGTCCCATCCTCTACCTCTTGGTTTATGGCTTTGTGCTGTTCGGTATTCTCTTATGGGTTGATTAGCTAATCATCTAACTCGAATTGGTGAGAAGGTGCGACTCTTCTACGCTAAGTGATACAGACACTGAATATTATTATGCATAAAGGAAGGCGCAGTCGCAGCGCAAAAACTTGACCTTGAGACAACACCTCACTGAATCTGTATTCAATCAACACCCTCCCTCGTACGTCAAACGTAGCGTTAGAAACTGGATAGCGGGCTGAATCTCGTGGTTAACATTTCGCAGCACCATCGCAGTGGCTCATTCTGTACTGGCGGCGGAGCTGTGCTGCAGGAATTGATGACCAAAAGCTATATCCGTGGCAATATCTCCATGTATACCCCTGATATCGAAGCGACCTTGTCCAAGGGGCTGAAATACCATTGGGCTCTTGCTTGACCTAGAGCGGGTTGTCGTTGTCTTGCAGGCGCGAAGATCGTTGGTAAGTCAACAATTCTATTTCATCCAAGTTCATGACAATAGAAGCGTGCAACGGATTCCTAAGCGCAATACAGTTTCAGGATGATATATAGAGCAGTTGCTTGTTGCTGGCCGCCGAACGTTTGAAGCAGATCTCGACGAGGATCCTTGATATACCTATCAGTCAGTGGTGCTCTTATAATAACTGCCATGAGTCTCACTTGCAGTCCCGCTCATACACAGATATGCTCCGCCAATCCACGACAGGAAGGAAACGCTGCCAACTGTGACGGCTGACACTATCTGCTGGACTTTTACACGCATGGTGCATCCGCGGGACTGACATAGTACTAGGCACTATATGTTGAAGTCCTAACGCCTAACTTTGGAGGAGGCTGATGTGTTGGGGAATAAGTCGAGAGGTTTGGGTCCGGGAGATGAAGGGATTAGCGCGGGAGCAAGCTGTGAGTCTATAGATTACAATGACAAAAGGTCGAGGTCAGGAAGTGCGAGCAAACTAAAGTTATGGGCGGACCTTCTCCTCCTCCCCCTCTAAACCACCCAGACCGAAGTTTAAGGCACAAGTCGCGCAGTTTTGACCCGGGAAGCAAAAAAAGTGGTGCGGGAGCGAGCTGTGGGTCTGTAGAGTACGATTACAAAAGGTCGAGGTCAGGAAGTGCGAGCCAAAAAAAGTTATGGGCGGACCTTCTCCTCCTCCCCCTCTAAACCACCCAGACCGAAGTTTAAGGCATAAGTCGCGCAGTTTTGACCCGGGAAGCAAAAAAAAGTGGTGCGGGAGCGAGCTGTGGGTCTGTAGAGTACGATGACAAAAGGTTGAGGTCAGGAAGTGCGAGCAAAAAAAGATGTGGGTGGATTACCTCCCCCTCCCCCTCTAAGCCACCCAGATTAAAGTCCCCGGGTATAGGCTTATGCAAGCAACACCGCCACCACGGCACGCGACACCCAAACTGAGGAGGACGCGACCCCAGGCAGTTGCAGGAACCAGCTCGGCAACGGAGAAAAAAGGACCGTGGGAGGAGACGCGTGATCGACGTCGTAGACGGAAGAAAGAATGGGCTGTTTCTGAGCCGCTGAAGAGCTCGAGCCACCGCTGGGCGAGGTGAAGGGATGGGTTAGTGACCAGGTGAGCCAAAGTCCAACGCATCCAGGAAGATGCCGAACTGACTGCAAATTTCCCACATCAGACCGTCAATCTACCGTCTGGACGGAGCTGAGGTTTTGGTGAGTACCTGTCTTTTCCTCCGTGAAAAAAACGACCGTCGGGCTGATGGACTGTAAATTGACAGTCCTCAGCTTTGCAGTCATGGCGGCTGCAGCATAGCCACTCGATTGATAATACAGGTACGCATGGGTGCGCCCCTGTAAGCGTCACCCCATCTAACTAGGTTGACTACCACAGCGTCCTTCTCTTTATTTCTCCTGGTCTCACGAGGCGACCTGTCTTTACAAAACTTAAGCCGGCTACTGCATTTTTCCTCTCTCTGCATCTTACTTGTCGCATCTTTGGTTCTCCATGTCACTCAGCTGAATTCTCAACGACGAACCACCCCCGGCGAGAAAATCTGTATCCTCACGTGGTGGTGGCATCAATCCTTCGTTAGCAGACGTCTCGCTTCTCTCCCGAGCCACAGTCCTGTCTCCTCATTCCCAAACTCTTCGTCGGAGTATAAACTCCTTCGGAGAGCAGCCACCACTTCCTCGTGGATATTCTTACTAGACGCCCTCTGATCAGGGTGCCAAAAGTTGGGATCCATATTCAGGTGACTATGTTCAAGGAGAGATCTTTCCTCTTGGCCCAGGAGGTAATCATTATTCTCAGCGTGAACGGGATGGACAGCACCAGCCTCCACCTCCAGAACCACGCGCATCTTCCACGGGCGCTTACTACAAGGAGGGCGAAAACGAACCCACATCACGAAAAAGGAGAAAGGCTGTGGTTCCAGACGACGACTCTGATTACAATCCTCCGATTGTAAAGCGAGAGGTTGACACCTCCACGTTCTTTCAAAGTGTTGATGAGGCCATATGCATTTGAAATTGCGGAGAGGTACTCTCCGGTTTATAGACGAGGTTCTTCGAGGCCGACCGTATCAAACACCTTGTATCGAGACCCATCTTCGAAGGTTATTTGGTACTCCGTCCAATGCAGAGTACAGCGGTGAGAGTCGGGCGATATGTGTGCAATCGCTTGGCCAGCTAACAGGTTAATGACAGAGCTTTTGCCCGCTCCTGTTTCTCCAAAGATAACGACGTTTCGAGTCGACACTGGCGCCATCTTATGTTCGACTCGCAGTCAGCAATATTCGACCCTTCAAGTTGGATATAGCGCTACTCGTACCTGTACACTGGTTATTCTGCGCTGCGTGGTACAATGGCAATTGCCCCAAAATGATACTGTTTGTAACAGGTATATATGATGCGAAAGGTGTTGTAACCACGCGCCTTCGGTACGTTTTCATAATAGTTTTACATCACCCTTTTGTCTCAAATTTGAAACACTCACAGGGGAGACACCCGGCTTCTGTTAGCCAGCTTCCTTGATCGATCTTTCGGCTACTCGGAGTCGACGGCGACACTCGATATTTGCAATAGAACTACAGCGAATGCCAGGGTCTAGACAGGCATGCATAAGGCATGCCTACCATACGATTCCGAAGGGGGAATCTGACTATTTCGATGCTCGCCACGTTTTGATATCGAAGTCTTCATGTATTCTTACATCGGATACTCCCGCAGTGCAGCCCTCATAGCCATGGTACAGGGTGCAACACGTTGGTTCTGGCCGAAAGCGCTCGCCACGGAGCCAATTACTTAAACGCCCAGTAGCCGTTATCCATCTCTTTACGATCGCACGCAAAGTAAGCTTGTGCCAATCTCTTTTTGCAAAGCTAATTGGGTCTCTCAGAGAAGATGTCTGATAGCCACGACTCCACAGACACGATAGGGAATAAATATTCACAGCAGGTTCGTAATCTGCTCCATCGGTCAATCCAGTATGCAACTGATGTCTCTTGTAGGGACATCAAGGTCGGCCGCGTAACGTGGTACTCTATGGGGAGAGTGGGGTAGGCAAAAGCTCGCTCATAAACCTTATCATGGGTCGTGATGCAGCGAAAACATCTCCTGATGCCCTCGCATGTACTACTACACATGCTCCATATGATGCGACGATCAGCGGGCAACACTTCAGGCTGTGGGATACAGCAGGTATGTATTCTTTCATGCTCAAGGTTTTGGCCCAGAGCGGCTCAATGATCGTGTCTTCAGGGTTTAATGAGGGCTCAGAAGGCACAGTGCCTGCGGTGATGGCTGAAAGAAACTTGACTGCGTTCCTCCGAGGTCTTAACCAGGAAGATGGTGTCCATCTTCTTATATACTGTGTGCGCGGAACGCGAGCAACAAAGGCTCTGTAGACTCACTACAAGATATTCTCGGCAGTTATCCGTGATAGCAAAGTGCCCACGATTATTGTGGTGACGTGCCTGGAAGACTTCCGTCCTGTGATGGCAGAGTGGTGGAACGAGAACAAGGACGAGCTTGCAACGTATGGAATGCAATTCTCTGGATATGCTTGCGTCACCACTTTGAAGGATGAACCCACAGAGTCCCCGGATATTCACCAACGTCATGCACAGTCCTACAATGATGTCTGCAGAAGCATTCTAGACCATTGTTCGCAAACTCCTCACAAAACGTGGGGCACTGAAGATCAGCGAAGCTTCCTCGCGATTTTGCTGCAGAAGTTAGCTCGTTTTGTTGGAGGAGCTCACCGTGACCAGGATGCCTTAAAAGCATCTTTGTCGTAGCTAATTCTTGTACAAACGATTTCTGTGATCAAACTTCTATCACTTACCCAATTCTCTCGTACTTAGCATCACGAAATGCCTGCATGACTCTCGGATGGTACCCGACTAGCAGGATTCAAGTAATCACCGCTGTTACTGTTGTAGACTGGTGGTCGCGGTGAAATCTGGAAGAGCATCATGTAGGTCATATTTATGTAAGGGAGATGATTTCGGGCCATTCTGCCGAATCAATAAACTATTGTAAAAGTCTGGAGCGATCCAAAGACGAGCCTAGATCGCGCATTCGAAGCAGGCCTCCATATCGAATTTCAGCCGGCGCTCGACATCGATTCTTGCTGCCTCACCTCAAGCTACAGCATAATCATAATTACGATTCATGCTAATGCTACTGAAACCAGGATCGACTGAAACCTGTCCTACCGCGTGTCACAAGCCCAATTACCGTCTTTGATAGATCTAGCGGTTTCTTGCTAGCCTGAGCATGTTGAAGATGGTACTTGGTATCCGCTGTAGTACTAGGCTCTCGCACTGAACCGTCATGACAGCCCCCAGTGAAGGAAATTGAGAGGCACCCTCGGGTTTTATTATCAGTATTCATTGAAAGTATTATCTCTAACTTCACTAATGTCAGTCGCGGAGAGCCTTTTACTATTGCCCTGGCCGTCTGATCTCTTGTGAAGTTTCAGGCCTCGAGCCCCACTCCATTCCCAAACGACATGCCGCATTGGACCGAACTTGTTGCAGAGAAGAAGCAGAGGCAGCTCAAGTCCATTCTACAAGAATGGCTTGTGTCCCCTCCTCTAGACTCTACTCGAAGACCATTGCACCACCAAGAACTGCATTCCAGAAAGCGGGGCCGACTTCCCCGGCGGTGTTGTCAACACGTGTCGTGGATCCACAAGGGAAAAAGAGGTGCACGATGAGAGATGGATCCGAGTGCGTGGGTGATAGGTATGGTGCGAATATTGATTATGAGACGAGTTAGACACAGGTGCGGGGGAAAGAGAGTTAAATTGAGTGTGCGCGTGCCACGCGTCTTCTATCCTTCAGGACCGATGCGGAGCAGGACGACGGAGACCAAAGAAAAATCCGCAGCAGCTCACTCCTGCATACACAAAGTCTTCCGCTCCATCAGTCGAGACTGGTGCTTCTGTTTGGATTGGTGCTTGAGATGGTCGTGCCCCAGTTGGTTGACCTAATTGTGTTGAACTGTCGGCCTGGTTACTATTCGTACGTTGCATAGCTGCGGCCGCTTCCGCATCAGATTCGGGAACAATACCAATTCTCTGCAGTGGTTTAATGGGAGGAAAGAGGAGGAAAGGCGAGCCACCCACATTTTCATCTTGAGCAAGAGGTACATCGACGGTGCACATGGAATGTCCTCCAGAAAACAACTTGAAGTTGATATTCCAGTGTCGGGACTGTCGTTCGAATGGTGGGATGCATTTAGAGGTCGTGTGCCGAAATGTGTAGAACTGAGCAAATGACGCAACGGATAAGGGACGACGAGTTGCGGGAGAGCTGCACGACGAGACGCGTGTCTGATTCGGTGCCAAAGAAATCATTGCCCTGTATCTTGATGTCAGGCGAGGAAAGGCCAGAACGAGAAAGTAGAATGCTAGTCCTGTTTTTTTTGGCCTGCTAATTAGACGCAAGGCGGGGGTCAAAGTCTGACGAGACATATAGAAAGGTAGGATTGCTCACGTTAATGGGCGTACAACTCTCTGTTTGGGCTGGACGTCCCTAGTACAAGTGAGATGTATTGTGAAAGAGAAGCAGAGAAGACTTGCCTTGAGCTTTGCATTGCCATCATCTGCGCCCCTAGATGGCCAAAACCGTTAGGAAGAAAAAAATTAGACAACAAAGCGCATACGCATCCACAACATTTTGAGCCGCTGCCTCCAGAATCCATACATAGATTTTTTTCTATTTCCAGCCGCTGACTATGTAATTTCCCATCGGGAGACATGACAACACGAAGAGTTGGTCTTCATGCAAGAGTGGACTCCGACTCGCTGCCTGATTGGTCTCAGATCCAGATTCGGACGGAGCAGAGTCACTTGATGCGCTATTCCATGTATATGATGCACGCTTATGTAGTAAAGAAAATCGAAGCATAATAACGTATCGTTCCGGAGGAAGGGAAAAAAAAACTGGTGCAAAGGAGAAGGACGATTCGTTGAAGATAATTCGAGGCTGTTTGAGCGACTTTCTGGAAACCCGAGTGATGCGAGAGACCAAAAGGATGCATGATCAATGATTGTGGTGCACGTTAGGAGATGCCATGGCCCATCAGCTCGACCCAAGCTGGGGTTCGCGTCCACAAGACATCTGTGCATGGCCATCACAGATGGATGTGGTCTTGTGGACGCGAACCCAGCTTGGTCGAGCTGATGGGCCATGGCATCTCCTAACGTGCACCACAATCATTGATCATGCATCCTTTTGGTCTCTCGCATCACTCGGGTTTCCAGAAAGTCGCTCAAACAGCCTCGAATTATCTTCAACGAATCGTCCTTCTCCTTTGCACCAGGTTTCCCTTCCTCCGGACGATCACGTATTATGCTTCGATTTTCTTTACTACATAAGCGCGCATCATACTACATGGGAATAGCGCATCAAGTGACTGCTCCGTCCGAATCTGGGATCTGAAGACCAATCAGGCAGCGAGTCGGAGATCCACTCTTGCATGAAGACCAACTCTTCGCTGTTGTCATGTCTCCCGATGGAAATTACATAGTCAGCGCTGGAATAGAAAAAAAATCTATGTATGGATTCTGGAGGCAGCGCTCAAAAATGTTGTGGTGCGTATGCGCTTTGTTGTCTAATTTTTTTCTTCCTAACGGTTTTGGCCATCTAGGGCGCAGATGATGGCAATGCAAAGCTCAAGGCAAGTCTTCTCTGCTTCTCTTTCACAATACATCTCACTTTGTACTAGGGACGTCCAGCCCAACAGAGAGTTGTACGCCCATTAATCGTGAGCAATCCTACCTTTTCTCATATGTCTCGTCAGACCTTTGACCCCCGCCTTGCGTCTAATTAGCAGGCCAAAAAAAAACAGGACTAGCATTATACTTTCTCGTTCTTGGCCTTTCCTCGCCTGACATCAAGATACAGGGCAATGATTTCTTTGGCAACGAATCAGACCACGCGTCTCGTCGTGCAGCTCCTCCCGCAAACTCGTCGTCCCTTATCCGTTGGCGTCATTTGCTCAGTTCTACACATTTCGGCACACGACCTCTAAATGCATCCCAACCATTCGAACGACAGTCCCGACACTGGAATATCAACTTCAAGTTGTTTTCTGGAGGACATTCCATGTGCACCGTCGATGTACCTCTTGCTCAAGATGAAAATGTGGGTGGCTCGCCTTTCCTCCTCTTTCCTCCCATTAAACCACTGCAGAGAATTGGTATTGTTCCCGAATCTGATGCGGAAGCGGCCGCAGCTATGCAACGTACGAATAGTAACCAGGCCGACAGTTCAACACAATTAGGTCAACCAACTGGGGCACGACCATCTCAAGCACCAATCCAAACAGAAGCACCAGTCTCGACTGATGGAGCGGAAGACTTTGTGTATGCAGGAGTGAGCTGCTGCGGATTTTTCTTTGGTCTCCGTCGTCCTGCTCCGCATCGGTCCTGAAGGATAGAAGACGCGTGGCACGCGCACACTCAATTTAACTCTCTTTCCCCCGCACCTGTGTCTAACTCGTCTCATAATCAATATTCGCCACCATACCTATCACCCACGCACTCGGATCCATCTCTCCTCGTGCACCTCTTTTCCCTTGTGGATCCACGACACGTGTTGACAACACCGCCGGGGAAGTCGGCCCCGCTTTCTGGAATGCAGTTCTTGGTGGTGCAATGGTCTTCGAGTAGAGTCTAGAGGAGGGGACACAAGCCATTCTTGTAGAATGGACTTGAGCTGCCTCTGCTTCTTCTCTGCAACAAGTTCGGTCCAATGCGGCATGTCGTTTGGGAATGGAGTGGGGCTCGAGGCCTGAAACTTCACAAGAGATCAGACGGCCAGGGCAATAGTAAAAGGCTCTCCGCGACTGACATTAGTGAAGTTAGAGATAATACTTTCAATGAATACTGATAATAAAACCCGAGGGTGCCTCTCAATTTCCTTCACTGGGGGCTGTCATGACGGTTCAGTGCGAGAGCCTAGTACTACAGCGGATACCAAGTACCATCTTCAACATGCTCAGGCTAGCAAGAAACCGCTAGATCTATCAAAGACGGTAATTGGGCTTGTGACACGCGGTAGGACAGGTTTCAGTCGATCCTGGTTTCAGCAGCATTAGCATGAATCGTAATTATGATTATGCTGTAGCTTGAGGTGAGGCAGCAAGAATCGATGTCGAGCGCCGGCTGAAATTCGATATGGAGGCCTGCTTCGAATGCGCGATCTAGGCTCGTCTTTGGATCGCTCCAGACTTTTACAATAGTTTATTGATTCGGCAGAATGGCCCGAAATCATCTCCCTTACATAAATATGACCTACATGATGCTCTTCCAGATTTCACCGCGACCACCAGTCTACAACAGTAACAGCGGTGATTACTTGAATCCTGCTAGTCGGGTACCATCCGAGAGTCATGCAGGCATTTCGTGATGCTAAGTACGAGAGAATTGGGTAAGTGATAGAAGTTTGATCACAGAAATCGTTTGTACAAGAATTAGCTACGACAAAGATGCTTTTAAGGCATCCTGGTCACGGTGAGCTCCTCCAACAAAACGAGCTAACTTCTGCAGCAAAATCGCGAGGAAGCTTCGCTGATCTTCAGTGCCCCACGTTTTGTGAGGAGTTTGCGAACAATGGTCTAGAATGCTTCTGCAGACATCATTGTAGGACTGTGCATGACGTTGGTGAATATCCGGGGACTCTGTGGGTTCATCCTTCAAAGTGGTGACGCAAGCATATCCAGAGAATTGCATTCCATACGTTGCAAGCTCGTCCTTGTTCTCGTTCCACCACTCTGCCATCACAGGACGGAAGTCTTCCAGGCACGTCACCACAATAATCGTGGGCACTTTGCTATCACGGATAACTGCCGAGAATATCTTGTAGTGAGTCTACAGAGCCTTTGTTGCTCGCGTTCCGCGCACACAGTATATAAGAAGATGGACACCATCTTCCTGGTTAAGACCTCGGAGGAACGCAGTCAAGTTTCTTTCAGCCATCACCGCAGGCACTGTGCCTTCTGAGCCCTCATTAAACCCTGAAGACACGATCATTGAGCCGCTCTGGGCCAAAACCTTGAGCATGAAAGAATACATACCTGCTGTATCCCACAGCCTGAAGTGTTGCCCGCTGATCGTCGCATCATATGGAGCATGTGTAGTAGTACATGCGAGGGCATCAGGAGATGTTTTCGCTGCATCACGACCCATGATAAGGTTTATGAGCGAGCTTTTGCCTACCCCACTCTCCCCATAGAGTACCACGTTACGCGGCCGACCTTGATGTCCCTACAAGAGACATCAGTTGCATACTGGATTGACCGATGGAGCAGATTACGAACCTGCTGTGAATATTTATTCCCTATCGTGTCTGTGGAGTCGTGGCTATCAGACATCTTCTCTGAGAGACCCAATTAGCTTTGCAAAAAGAGATTGGCACAAGCTTACTTTGCGTGCGATCGTAAAGAGATGGATAACGGCTACTGGGCGTTTAAGTAATTGGCTCCGTGGCGAGCGCTTTCGGCCAGAACCAACGTGTTGCACCCTGTACCATGGCTATGAGGGCTGCACTGCGGGAGTATCCGATGTAAGAATACATGAAGACTTCGATATCAAAACGTGGCGAGCATCGAAATAGTCAGATTCCCCCTTCGGAATCGTATGGTAGGCATGCCTTATGCATGCCTGTCTAGACCCTGGCATTCGCTGTAGTTCTATTGCAAATATCGAGTGTCGCCGTCGACTCCGAGTAGCCGAAAGATCGATCAAGGAAGCTGGCTAACAGAAGCCGGGTGTCTCCCCTGTGAGTGTTTCAAATTTGAGACAAAAGGGTGATGTAAAACTATTATGAAAACGTACCGAAGGCGCGTGGTTACAACACCTTTCGCATCATATATACCTGTTACAAACAGTATCATTTTGGGGCAATTGCCATTGTACCACGCAGCGCAGAATAACCAGTGTACAGGTACGAGTAGCGCTATATCCAACTTGAAGGGTCGAATATTGCTGACTGCGAGTCGAACATAAGATGGCGCCAGTGTCGACTCGAAACGTCGTTATCTTTGGAGAAACAGGAGCGGGCAAAAGCTCTGTCATTAACCTGTTAGCTGGCCAAGCGATTGCACACATATCGCCCGACTCTCACCGCTGTACTCTGCATTGGACGGAGTACCAAATAACCTTCGAAGATGGGTCTCGATACAAGGTGTTTGATACGGTCGGCCTCGAAGAACCTCGTCTATAAACCGGAGAGTACCTCTCCGCAATTTCAAATGCATATGGCCTCATCAACACTTTGAAAGAACGTGGAGGTGTCAACCTCTCGCTTTACAATCGGAGGATTGTAATCAGAGTCGTCGTCTGGAACCACAGCCTTTCTCCTTTTTCGTGATGTGGGTTCGTTTTCGCCCTCCTTGTAGTAAGCGCCCGTGGAAGATGCGCGTGGTTCTGGAGGTGGAGGCTGGTGCTGTCCATCCCGTTCACGCTGAGAATAATGATTACCTCCTGGGCCAAGAGGAAAGATCTCTCCTTGAACATAGTCACCTGAATATGGATCCCAACTTTTGGCACCCTGATCAGAGGGCGTCTAGTAAGAATATCCACGAGGAAGTGGTGGCTGCTCTCCGAAGGAGTTTATACTCCGACGAAGAGTTTGGGAATGAGGAGACAGGACTGTGGCTCGGGAGAGAAGCGAGACGTCTGCTAACGAAGGATTGATGCCACCACCACGTGAGGATACAGATTTTCTCGCCGGGGGTGGTTCGTCGTTGAGAATTCAGCTGAGTGACATGGAGAACCAAAGATGCGACAAGTAAGATGCAGAGAGAGGAAAAATGCAGTAGCCGGCTTAAGTTTTGTAAAGACAGGTCGCCTCGTGAGACCAGGAGAAATAAAGAGAAGGACGCTGTGGTAGTCAACCTAGTTAGATGGGGTGACGCTTACAGGGGCGCACCCATGCGTACCTGTATTATCAATCGAGTGGCTATGCTGCAGCCGCCATGACTGCAAAGCTGAGGACTGTCAATTTACAGTCCATCAGCCCGACGGTCGTTTTTTTCACGGAGGAAAAGACAGGTACTCAAAACCTCAGCTCCGTCCAGGGAGATTGACGGTCTGATGTGGG